TACCTTGTTTGGGAGAATGTTACCTTGTTTGGGAGAATGTTACCTTCTCTGGGAGAATGTTACCTTGTTTGGGAGATTGTTACCTTCTCTGGGAGATATCTACCTTGTTTGGGAGAATGTTACCTTCTCTGGAAGACTGCTACCTTCTCTGGGAGAATGTTACCTTCTCTGGGAGATATCTACCTTCTCTGGGAGAATGTTACCTTCTCTGGGAGAATGTTACCCTCTCTGGGAGAATGTTACCTTCTCTGGGAGAATGTTACCTTCTCTGGAAGACTGCTATCCTATCCTTTTGGAAGCTTGCTCCATTCTCCATTAGAACTTTCTGTGGGAGATTGCTAGATGCTTTTGGGACACTGTGGTTTCTGGTTCCTTTATATTAAATAATAGAATATCTACATTGCGGCAACCACAATCTATTGTTGCTGTCAAAAGAGAATGGAACATTCTTTATTGGAAAATGGAACTGAAAGGGTATTTCAGTTTTTTTAATTTGAAGAAGTTTGAACCAAACCTGGTACATTCCAGGACATGTAATTATCTTTAATATTAATTGTTCATTATAATACAGTCACAGTAAATGCAGTATTTTGTTATTAACCAGTTATTTCAGGACAGGTCAGATCTGAACTAATTATATTGAATTATAATTCCTAGATTTTATCAGTGTGTTTCTAATATCAGGACAGGTCAGGGAAAGGGCAGAGGTATATAAGGTTTAATACTAGATCAATCACCTGGACAACTTATCCTCCTATGCCCCAATGATGATGGTAATTGTAGAAAAGATAAAAAGTAATTTGTAGCATAATAGAAGTAGAAATAGATAATGCCATAATCTAAGAAAGAATTAATGATATTTTTTATCTCCAGTACAATTTACCATGCTGTTATTTTTTTTATTATTTTGTTGCTTCTTTTATTTAGATTTAACTGAAACTTCAAACTATTGTATATATCCTGGCCATATTCTGGAGATATAATCTGTGCAATCTAGAGTGTGAAAAATAGGTAATCGAGGTAATACTAGAGACCCAATACAAGCTGGCTGATGCTCAAACCATGAAACAGCCCCCCCCCCTATCATACACAATTTAGAGACTGGAAAATAGGTAACTGAGGTAATACAAGAGACTTCATGCAACAATAAAACCGGCTAAAATCAACGCAATCGTGAGTTTCATCATCTATGGTATGAAATTGTTGATGAAATTCACACTGTAAATTAAGTACTGTTTGCACTGGATCTATCAGGAATAATTCTTGGAATAACATTTATTGGCTCAGAAATAAGATGAATTCACTTGAAACCATTTCCCTTTCCTCTCATAGTTTATTGAATCAGCTCAATCACTCATTCTCTCCCTAGTAGGAAATAAGCTGAGTATGTCACATTCAAAGACGAGTTAATCGATGGAGTATAGTACTTGCCCAGAGGCTAGTGATGATTATAGAACTTAAACTATTCAAAGGGTTATATTGTTACAGTCGTCTATTCAATAATTGCCCCCTCCCCCAATATATAATGCTCCCTTCAGTTATAGTCCAGTTACAAGCCCTTGTGACCGCACCCCACTGCACAACTCCCCACCACAAGATAAGGGGAACCAGAGACTTCAAGCAAGACTAACCAGTGTCAGATAGGGGATACATGGGGGCTTGATGCAAGACTAAGAACAATAGAAATAGGCATTTCTGGGTCTCACTAAAAATGTTCACATCAAGAGGAGTTTGCACTTCTATTACTTGATCTCGTTTACAGTGAAACCCATCTTTTAGGCGAATGCCACTTGGACTGGGTAAAAGCATTTTGATACCAGAGGTTTTCACATAAAGAGGCTATGACATAGCATGGGAGTCAATAAGTAATCCAAAACCTGGAACTGGTAAATGGGTTCACCTTAACCACTATATTCATAATAATGAAAGAAATTTTGAGTCTCAATAAATCTTCATTTATACTATTATTTAACTACTTGCACTTACTTAATGTATTATATTATCAAGATAACGATCTAACTATTGATCTTCAAATGTCCATAAAAGCACACGGCAGTCCTTCCATTAGCTGGAACAAAGGCTAGAGTTTACCTAAAATAGTAGGCTTTAAAGTTCCCATGTAAAGTTTGAAAATATGTAATTGAAAAAAGGTCTCACATATCACACTTTGATAACATTGGGTAAGATTATAATATAAGCCAAAGTAGTTTAAACTTTATATGGGGCCTTTATAGAAGGCATGTCCGATAAAATTTTAAATTCTAGAAACATGTATCAGTAAATAATTAATTCCTGAAACAGATTCCCAGTTTAAATACATATGACGTGTATTCATCCCCCCCCCCATCTCTAGTACATTTACAGTGAAACGTGTTGAACACATATTGAGCCATAGAAATGTGATCACTGGTTATTTCATTACAGAGAGGGTAATTTATACAGAAGTAGAATATGTTGTGAGGAAGGTATCTACTAAAAACAGGTGTTCACTAGTGACAGGTGTTCACTAGAGAAAGGTGTTCACTAGAGAAATGCATTGGCTAGAAAATGTGTTCCACTAAGACAGGTTTTATTGTATTATCTCTCCTGAAATGTAATTTTATGATTATTGCTACAATTGTAACAGATGCCTCTGTTAACATAATGTTAATCCAGAACAACGCTTTCTTTGCTTTGTTGGAATATCGGAAATGTGAAAATGTTTTGCATCATTTTGTTAGAGGGACTCTGTTAAATTAGAATTGTTATTTTTAGGTTTCTTAGAATCATTATATACTTGCTAGTCTTAAATAACATGTCATAAATTTTTTTTTCATGTTTTGTCATTTCATTAATTGTTTTTCTCAGAAAACAGAATTTCTCTTGTATAATTGAAAGCTATAGGTTATCTGTCATTCTGATGCTTCTAGCAATTTTTCTGTTACATCGTAGATGAACAGAGAGAGAGGAGGTATGGCTATATCACAGTGGCTTTGTCTGTCAAGTTTTATTTTACTGTCAAAAGATTAAAAAAATAAACTATGGTTATGGTATGTAATTCACAGAGATATATTACTATTTGTAGCCCTTGTTATGTCAGTACCACAAGTGGTTTATAATCTCCAACTTTTTTGTAGATGGTGTCTGGTGTTTGGTTGGTATTTAGAGTTTGGTGTCTTTTTGCATCTTAATGCCTTGTATGTAAATGTCATGGTGGCCATGTTAACAATTATGTTCATGATTATTGACCTATCTAGAGGTTGACAATTCAATTATGTACATTCCAAGACTTGTCATTCTATTCTGATACTGTAATCGTCGTAATAAGTGCCCACCCCACTTCACAGAGATCAAGAAATATTGAGGAATGATCAAGTATTAACGAATATATCAGAAAAAATCAAATTTTCAAAGAAATATAGTGGGCGATAATAGAGTACTTACACTAAAATGCAGAAAACATGACGCATTTTGTAATTCGCTTTTTACGGCGAATACGGCATGTCCAGACCCATATGGAGGACATCTTCATTATTGACAAGGTTTCAGTCGCTCAAACTTCACCCTGGAAGTCAAAGAATTTTGGGCGATAAATTTTGCCACAAATTGATAATCCCATGGCCACCATAGTCATTGACCATCAAGTTATGCTAACATCTAAGTCAACATTCATTTAGTAAGAGAGCACCAAGATAGAATTTGATTAGAGTGACTCGAGAATAAATGACCAAGTTTAGATCTTCAGACACTGGCGACAAGATTTAATCAGTTAATGAATTTGATTTCCATCAAATAAACCCTGGAAGACTTCACGCCAGTTTGCAACTTTTCATGACTTGTATGAATTGTTTTATTCGACATGGATTTCTGTAAGCTTAATGTAGACACGAAGCTCCATGTAAGTGAAGAAAGATATGTGTACATTTTAAGAACGTACCAGAGGGGATTGATTTATACATCGGATACTTCAGGAAATTAACGTCAATATCTATCAGGATCTCTAACAGTTACTAATACTAAATGTAAGCCAAAGAGCTTGGGTATTATGTACCGATAAAAAGTTAAGTCGTCACCGTGAAAAAATAAACTATATCCATATGCCAAGGAACGCAGAAAATAAGCTATATAGATGAATGTTGCAAGGCTTCCTGGGTTTAAGAAAGGGAGTTTGAATAGATAGTTGAGTGAATTGATATCACAGAGTAACATAATAAGGTAGAAAGGCAGGTCCAGTAGCCAGCGTATGCTAAGGGGTTCATCTTTAAGAAAATTTCAGGGGATTCATATTTGACAACTTTGGCCCAAAACCACTTGAAAAATGCTCAGAATTGTGAAAAACTTTTGACCAGAGGCTAGGGGCCTTAAGGGACTGTATCAAACCCTTGTCTTTGCTGCCCTCCCCATAGCGCCATCTATACCCATTCATGAAATGAGAGCAGATACATTATGCAAGCCTAAATACACAGCCATCCATCAATTTTTTTCCTTTGCTAATTTGAAAACAGAAAGATTTGATGAGTATAAGAATGTCATATCTGTTATTGTGAGAGATTGCAGCCTTGCATCAGTTCTTTCCTTTGCTAGTTTAAAACATATGATGAGTATCAGAATGAAAGACAATGCAGTGAAACCTGTAAATGAGAACACAAATGTGTTGGGGAACATTTAACTCCTTGTTAAGATTCACTTATAAAATAAACCTAGAGTCTAACTGGAACACCTCCCAAGTAGAACACTATTCCACTTTTTTTCAGTGTTCCACTATTTTACCTATGTTTCCATTCTGGTATGCCAGAGCCCCTCTTATCTGCCCTTTGGAAGGGTAAAGACAAAGGGGGCGTGGCTATCGCGATGCTGTGTTCCATCTACAAAAATTTTACTCAACTGGTTAATGAAAAAAGAATGAAATTCTGCACTAAGGGCTGATGTGAGTAGGGAACGAACCCACATCCTCTCAGTGATTTGTTGTACTGTATTATCCAAACAATTCTAATTCTTATTTTTTGTTTATGTAATTCCAGTTCTAGTGTTGGAAGAGGTAGAGGAAGACTTCCAAGACAAAACTCTCAAGATCACAGACTTCGGTCTTGCCAGGGAGGTCTACCATACGACCAACATGAGCGCTGCAGGGACCTACGCGTGGATGGCCCCTGAGGTCATCAAATCATCAACATTCTCAAAGAGTAGTGATATATGGAGGTGAGAACCAGGCCCGTAGCCAGGGGGGGTTCATAGGGTTCGGGCGAACCCCCCCTGGCCAAAAATTCTTTCAAAATCAAGAGGTTTTTCACCATTTTGAGCACTTCTCATTGATTTTAGCCATATTTGGGCCAAAATTGTCAAATGTGCACCCCCCTGGAAATTTTTGAAAACTGAACCCCCCCCCTTGGCAAATCCTGACTCGGGCATGAGAACTGTTTATGCACATCATTGCATCTTATCATATCATCATGCATATCCAGCAAGCCAGTTTTCAGCATCTGTAACAAATCGTCACATTTTTGTAATTGCAACCAAGTGGTTACATTTTGTTGTTTTGAATTGATTTTCTGATTATTGGAAATTTTGATTTGATTTGAATTGAAAACTATATTCATTCTGGGTAGCTCTATCAGTATAAAATTAGTCTTTCTAGAGGCCCAGTGATAATTTACAATATGTATAAATTTTGAAGTTCAGGTGATCATTGTTGAATGTTATGTAAGCTGAGACTTGAATTCTATTGTTCTAGTCATCCTATCTCAAATTTTTTATGTATCACCAGGCCTATATTTATGAAACAATTTTTCATTACATAGTATATATCATTATGTCCCCAGCAGAGGTGAGTGGTGGCATATTGTTATAGTGTCCAACTTTTTGTGGATGGTGTTCAGCGGTCGGCATCTGTGACAAATGGTGGTTGCCGTCTGTAAACAAGTTGCTAATGGTGACATATTGCATGTTAATGCCTTGTACCATTATTTACCATGCTCATATTTTACAGGAACATTTTTTAACTACATATACTTACTATGTGTCATATATTTCAGCTATGGGGTTGTACTATGGGAGCTTCTGACTGGAGAGACCCCTTATAAGAACATCGACACTCTGGCAGTGGCATATGGTGTTGCAGTTAACAAGCTCACTCTTCCCATTCCTTCCACTTGTCCCGACCAATTTGCTAAGCTGCTTGAGGGTAAGTTTCTATTAAGGTGGGAATTGCGAGACAACTTTTCAACCCATTGAAGAACTGTACTTTCACAGTGTTATTGATATTTACAGCGTTTTTAATTAATCACTAGCCAGGGCACTGTTTGATTGACAAAATTATGATTCATTTTTGATTTTCATTTTTGATGTCATGAATTCCTGAAAGATAATTTCTTCAAGAAAATCCAGATTATTTATTCATCTATGCCTGCCTTAATTCACTGAGACAAACAGCTGGGATTTTTCTATGAAGGCAAACCTATGTGGGATTGATTCATTAGATTACGCGAAATGTCTATGCTACATGGTTTCTATTTTAGAGGATTAGTAATGAGTTAATTAAAGTAAATTTCCTGCAAGATATGATCCACATTATTATATGGCGATATGAATATACATGTATATTCCCATATGAAGTTCTTTGGAATTATTTTTCCTGCAGTGCTAAGAGAAATATCAATTATAGCAGGCAATACAAAAATTCAAAGGTTGACATTTTAAAGATTAAACACAAAAATTAAATCTTAGGTTTTGGAGATGTATATTGTCAAGATAAACCCCATATCTAAAACCTTCCAGTGCATAACCATTTGAGTACATTGTTTGTTTCTTTCTTGTAGACTGTTGGAACCCTGAACCTCATGAAAGACCTACATTCCGGGAGCTTCTAGCTGTGCTAGAAGAGATTGCTGACTCGCCATTCATGGATACCCCCAACGAGTCATTCCACACGATGCAGGAAGACTGGCGGCTGGAGATTGAGGATATGTTTAATGAGCTCAGGAAGAAAGAAGCGGTAAATAGGATTAAATTATTATTATATGCCTATAAGTGTTCACTTTCCTTGGCAACCCCAAATCCCTATTGGATAGCCTTTATACGAATCATTACATAGTTTATCACAAATTAAGATAAGTTTTTTTTCATGTTATAATTTTATTTCAAATATAAACTGATATCAACGGACAATCAGCTAATTGCCAAGATTTTTCAACTTGAGCAGCAATTTGAATTTTTTATTTTTTCCAAATGTTTGACACTAACAGTTTCTATTTCAGGAGTTACGATCGAGAGAAGAGGAGCTGTCGAAAGCTGCGTCAGAACAAAAACTGCAGGAAGAATTCCTGAAAAAACGCGAACAAGAACTCGCTGAGCGGGAAATCGATCTCTTAGAACGTGAACTAAACATTCTTATCTTACATCAAAACATAAGTAAACCCGTACCAAAGAAACGTAAGGGAAAATTCAAGAAAAATAAACTCAAGATGCTTAAGAATAGTGGAGGGAAAATCATCAGCGAACCTTCAGGTAATTTTTTTGAGGTTTTATGCTCAGTAATATTTCATTAAATTTTGTACATTCGCCCCATAAAGCACAAAAATAGGTGCAAGTGAACAATAGGGATTTTGCAGGAAAATTCAGTATGTCTGCAAGTTTTTTTTCTCGTGAAAGTTTACAAGTTTATCGCTTTATAAAATATGATCCCAGAATGGTAAAAAGTGACTTCCATATCGGTTCAACATTGCAAGTTTTACTTTAATGCATTATATAGAATTGACTTTTTCACCTTAACAAGAATGAAATCCATGGAGTCCACGACTATCGGGAATACCTTGAGGGGATAAATATCAACTTGTTTAGTTTGCAATCAAACAATATTGATTATCAAACAAACAGGAAATTGATGTCTTGAAACTTGGTATTGACGAGTAATTGGAAAATGAATTTGTGGCCAGCATAAGGATGTCTATCTTTGACAGCTAAGGACATGAAATAGACAGATCACTTTACATTTAATAGATAGAATAAAACTCGATTGATTGTTCAACAGTATATACTCGCTTAAGTGATTATGTCAACGTCAGTTTCAATGTAAATTATAAATTACATTTAAAAGTTTCTCCTTGACATACTAATATCTCACAAAGTATTTTGTCAAACTCTTTGACATTTTCAGCTATTTTTAGTATTGATACTTACGCCACATCTTTGTACTTATTAATTGTACTATTAAATGTGAATAAACATGAGAGCAAGTGGGTGCTACATCCTGTTGTTAGATTGAAAATTACATGCCACCCTCTCAAAATTTGTAAGCACCCTATCAAAAAGATGTAATATTGAGGTATCTTGAGTTGACCAAATATAGTAAAATCAGAATATGCAGAGAAAAAAACCTGGGGAGATCACAGAATAATGAATAAAGTTTCTCTAAGCCTTAAGTAAAAGCATGACAAAAATCACAAGGGGTTAATTTCTCTAAACAGCATTGTTGGTTACCAAATCAATTGTCTATTATGCAATAGCTCTAGAAATCTGAAGAAGTCAAACAATTGATTTAAAGACCTGTAACTTAAGAATGTTTTGAGAAGTTGACCCTGTGACACTTTGATGAATTAAGAGATTTGATACAGCATAATATTGACAAACCTCATTGATTTCTCCCACGTGTAAAACTGGTACTTGTGTTACAGAAATCAATTTCCTGTTCTTTTATTAATTTCTGTGTTAAGATTCAAAGAACGAGTGTCTGATAAAGTCGATATGATAAACTACTGTTTGTTCAAGAAGTATACTTAATAGGCAATTTGAAAGGGCAAAGGTCAAAAAAATAGTCAATACTCTTGCACCAAACCCTTAAACCACTCCCACCCCTTATTTCTGACACAGATTATATAAGACAAAAATTCAATAATAACGCTGGTTATCGGTACTTAAACTTTAATCAATCCCACCGCCTTATCTCAGACACAGATTATATTAGACGAAAAAATCGGTAATAACCTAGGTTATTGGTACTTTACCTTTAATGTTTATTTGCAGATTTCCGCCACAATATAACAGTGCAATCAGAGACTCCGACAGCGCACAGTAAACGTGTTCCCTCGACCCCAGAAACTCCCCCTCCCCCGGGATCACCCGGCTTTCCTCCCAGACTCAGGGCTATAGCATGTAAGTACATTATATGTAGCCTTATAACAAGTTTTACTATGTAAAGATCATACTTGATTGAAAATATTTATTATTGAATTTAAGTTGTTCAAAAGAATCATTTTCATGTATGTATTAACCTTTTCCTTTTCTCCCCCAGCCACACAATATGGTTGATAGAATTAAGACCACTTACTTGAAGCTGGACTAAAATGTCTAAATTTTGTCAATTAACATCATCAGAGTATTATGCTTTAATTTAGTTCCATTAGATGGCATTAAGGGCAAGACGTGGGGACCAAGTACGATGGAACGACATCGCCACCACCACCATAGAGCACTACAATGGAGCAAGAGTGCCCCTAATCTCGATAAAACTCTCCGTCATGTCGGAGGACATTCCAATATTGGGGCGCTCCAGGAGTTAGGTGAGAGGTCGGAGGAAGATGACACGTCAGGTTTGTGATTGTGCCAAAAACAAAATGGCCGCCACTTTTTTTTACACCAGGTGGCAGCATGTGTGGTGTGGTATCTTTATGTCTTTATCAAGTTTCTGATTTACTTTATTTTATTTTTACCCCTTTTTAGTTAGATTTCTTTTTAGAAATGCCTTTTTTCACTGGCCAAGATGTCTTACATTGACAGCTTACTGTACTCACTGTGTATGCTTATCATTGTGTCTTTGAACTGTACACAATTTTTTCATTATTGTAATTGTGGAATGGTTAATGGGCCTGGTGTTGGATCATTTTATCCTTAAATTTATTTTATTTATTTTTTATTTATTGTGATTGATATTCTGCTATTGTGGAGTCAAATTGATGTTTGCTAATGTAAATATATGATAATCAACATCAAAATACAAATACATTTTTTTCTATTTTCTTAAAATTTGAAATGTGACTATATTCTCCTGAAATAAGTACTGGTACATGTTTTTATTCATACTGTTTAACAAAAACTTCAACAAAAAAAAGTGTACTTTAGCCAGGATAAAGATACCAGTTCCTGTCAGATTAATACTGGGAGCTGTTTCTACCTTAGGATATCAAGTTACATTATCCTACCACACGTATATGCCCTATGGTGTCTGTGTGAGATATGTAACTCAAATGAAAAAAATAATGAAGAAGAGCCTTGAATTAATTATTGCTCACTTTACAATTGGATTCATTTGTAGTGACGTCAATCACATTTTCTCCCAAAGAAAAACCTCACATAAGCATCACAAGGGGCAACCTTTGAAGTTTCACATTGTCTCTCAAAGGAGAAACCTTTGAAGTTTCACATTGTCTCTCAAAGGAGAAACCTTTGAAGTTTCACATTGTCTCCCAAAGGAGAAACCTTTGAATTTTCACATTTTCTCTCAAAGGAGAAACCTTTGAAGTTTCACATTGTCTCCCAAAGGAGAAACCTTTGAAGTTTCACATTGTCTCTCAAAGGAGAAACCTCTAGTCTCACATTGTATCCTATAGGAAGCTGATAGTTCCCTGAAACTCCATCTTTAAAAATTTACATTTTAATTAAAATCTATTCTAACAAGTGTGTATTATAATAAACCTCTCTTTTAATAATTAGTATAAGAAAAGTTAACAAAAATTTGTGAATTACAATTTTTTTTGTTTTTCATAATATTGCCATGGTGATGCTTGTCCATGATAAATAAATGAATTCCATAACTCTTAGAGTAATTACAGTAAAATATATTAGAGAAACGGCCTTTAAAGGGTGACGCATATCGTTTAGCAAATCGAACGCTCGTTTCTGGTGTTACTCACCGTTTAGTATAAAAGGCCCGATCCCGGAATAATACTCAAGGGTTCACAGGCTCGAGGTCGTTGTGTCAACACCTCTAACTGTTATATAGCATAAGTATATTATAGATCGTCACATATTTATAAAACAGTGATTTTTATTTTGATTCCACATTTATGGGTGAAGTTTCAGGATCTTCTATTTGTGTATAATAAGGAAAAATTGACATCTAAATTTCCCCATAACGTAATAGCACACAGCTTGGTATATGAAATATCCTACAAATGAAACAAAGCAGTTCTAATACAAAGATTTATATTGGCTGTTGTACATATTCTTTGAACGCAATCACTCTATGGATAATGTTTTCAAAATCATTATATACGGATTACTTTATCTCAAAGACAATTTCAATAAACTGGATTTTACAGAACTCCCCTTATTTCTTAAAAATGGACTGATCCAGTCGATTCGCCTGGAGCCGCCATATTGTTTTTATACGGGATGCTTATCGGAACCCTTTAAAGGACAACTGAAATAGCTTTTCTCAACTTGCAGCTACAAAAATGTGGTTTTCTCCATTGTAAGCCCAACGTAGAGTTCTTGCGATAGCCATTATAAAATAAATGTAAGATAACTGCTAACGGTCATAGATAATGAAATAAAACTAACTGATCATTCAAATTGGCCCCCACGTGATTAGTAACGTCATATACAAAATATAGCTTTTGGTTTATTGGTTCCTAAGTAATCACAACATCACGACAACCATAGGATTGTTGTGTAAACAAATAACAAAACATTTTGGCATTATGACGTCATGATCTAATGGACCAAAACAGGCCACGTGGGGATCAGAGAGGGAGATCACGTGGGGGCCAATAACGTCACAACCAATTCAAATATTGCTTATTAAGCAGCTATAACGATCGTTAGAGTGAAATAATTTTCACACTACTGATGAGAAAACATGTCCAAATACATTTATCAAAAAATTATATTGATTCCTTTAGATTAAAAATACCATTTCATATCTGCTTTAAGGATTGATAAACTAGGACCCTTACACGTTGAGGTCCTAAATCCCCATGTAGTTCCACCTTAATTCACATTGGATTGAACTTAAGACACCATACCACTCAGTTTGTGGGCACTTTCACATCAACTTTACTCTGAGTCTTCTCTCCGAGTCTTCCTGTCAGTGAATGTCTCTGTGGGCATGTATACTGTAACCATAGTTACTTCACTTTGACTATTTTCATTTGGTGAATTAGGCAATTTGAAAATACCAGATTAACTAGTAGTTAAGATCACTAAATTTTATATAACTGATTAAAGAGATGGTCCAGGTCTAGATCTGGGTTTTCACTAATGACTCTGATTTTGATTACAAATATCCCAAACTGGAAAGTGTGAAAATAGCAATGGTTACAGTACACTCTAAAGGCAGTGGAATAAGCCAGCAAAAAGTGGAGTATGCATGGCCTGAGAGACATTCTATGCAGGGTTTTACTACTATAATGTCTATATAACTGTGTGATCATACTCTACTCTTATTATCAAGTAAAATCATACTTGGTATTCTTTAAAAGTAAATATACATATCTAAATCTGATACTTCTGTAAAACTTTTTAATATATCATGCATGCAACTTTCACGAAATGGAATGTAGAATTATGTTCGCTGATGTACATTATTTTGAGGCTACCACTAAAAGCCACAAATTTTAGTTTAGCAAATTTAACATGTAAGCATCATGTTATACAGTTTTTCATTCCAGCTTTGCATAATTTCTTTCCACTGCTACAAATTGAGAATCTGATACAATAATCCTGTCGCTTATTTCAGATTATGAAGATGACGAATGGCCAGAGACCCCTGGTGAGGCAAAACAGAAACACATTCCGAGTACAAACGGTGATGATGGATTGGGGCGTAGTCAGAGCCTAAAACGTTATGCAGAGCGTAAACGTAGTGAGGTTGTGCTGTGTGGTATTGGTTCAATGCTTGCCTCAGTGGCAGTAGGTTTTGATATTAGATCAACATTAAACTCCTCTGTGCATCCCAACCTTCAGAGTGGGGACTCAGATACCAGGAAAAAAAGTCCCGGAGTTAGTATGAAACGAGATGCGTACTTAGCTGCAATGAGGGACAATTTCTTAGAACCGGAGGGAGATTATGCGAATTATCATTACAGTAGCTCTGCCAGTTATCATAATACATATCACGGCCAGCAGAATCGCTATAGGCCTACTCCTAACTTTGACTATCCCATGAGGTTTACAGATGCTGGTGACTCTCCGAGGACAGGGCGTAATACCCCCTCGTCTCATACTACTACCCCCTCACCATCTCCTCGGCGATCAACAGACACGTCATCATCTAACGAGAACAATATGTTCGCATCAGTGTCACCTAGAGACATTAACAAAGAGAGAGAGTTTAGGTTTAATCGGTCCGGCTCATCAGACTCTCGGGTGTATCAGCGCCAGGCTTCAGACACAAGCTCAGTGTTTGAGACCCCTAAGGGCACCCCCAAGACAACCCCTCAAAGACAAGTTAAATTTGAGGATGGAGTCTCCCATAATCCATATACCCACAGACGCTCACCATCTAATACCTCGAACACGTCAAGCCAGGACCTGAACCCGCGGGCGACCCCTGACTACCCTACTGACAAGTTCAATATCCCCTGTCCCCCACCACCCAGGCGACTCAGTAAGGACCTTATAGAACGCCCAACCACGTTAGATATTAATATCACCCCACGGCCTCGCCCCCAGGGCATTCTCAAATATCCCTCCCCCGCCCAGCAGACAACCCCCAAAACCAACACTCCCACCCCTGATAACACTAACATTAGTAACAGTGACTCGTCTTTCAAGTCAGCCAAGTCGCGTCTCAGCCCAGGTAGCACTCCCCCTCATATCGTACAGGAGAAAACCCTCCTAGATATTGACGTTGAGGGGCAAAGTGCGGACAATACTGCTCCTCTTGTGAGGCCTAAGCAACACCTGGGCGCCCAACAGAGGCGGCCGTCTGTCTCAGAGCTGGAGAGAGAGTTCTTATAGCCATACACTACATTGAACATTGTCTATGCAACATCCTCCTCGGCAAAGCAACTTTACATAAACATAATGGATGAATCACTCTTGATAAAATAATTCAAATCTACTGGAAGCAACTAGACAGTTTGCTAAATGTGTCTTGGAAAACACTTTAATCTGGTTCAGCCATAACAAAATACCTTTAAATTGGCCAACTTCTTTGTTTTAAAAAATGTTCATTCCACATGAAAATTATTTAGCTTAATTTTTTCAATATTTTAAAGACAGTGGTTGAAAGACCAACTCTTTACTGCGAATATAACTCTTAGAATATTGTACATAATTTCAATAGTTCACCTTGACCTACTGGTGAAAGAAGTTGATCAGAGGAGAAGGGTCCAGGGTCCTATAAACTACATCTCATACTGTTCATGTACCAAGTTATTTTCCCTTTGCACATGAAGCATTTGAATGTTGCATAGACATTTGTTCAATATCTATATTGGCCAGTAGGAAATCGTGTACATTGAGTTAGAAGGCACAAATATATTTGTATATATTTTTGTTCAATTCACCGGGTAACTTAATTCTGTACATTATATCTCAGGTTGAAGATTTATGTGCATTCTGTGTATGTGCATTTAGCAAAAATGCATGTTATGTGCATTCAACAAATGTGTATTGTATACATGTATGTGTATTGTATACATTTGGCATACTTGTGTATTTTGTGTACATTCGGCTTTGTTATGTCCATTTAATATACATACTGTACTCCTAGTAATTTTTGTGTGCTACTATACATGTACTTTGTGAGTTTTGGAAAATCCGCAAAATATAATAGCTGTGAAATCCCATTGGTTTTCATTCATGAAATATAATAGTCACGAAATTCCTGGAAATTAATTTCACTCAATAAATGACAATATTTTCATCCAGCGCTGGTTCATCAAAGGTATGAAGGATCTTTTTTTTCTTAAACTTTATTTCTGGTTTCAAATATTTTAATCAGAGAAATTAGAAAAAGCTGGAAAAATTTTCAGAAGTCACAAATCTGTGGAAATTAATAGCCGTAAAATTTTGAAAAACTGAAATAAGCGAAAATTTATTGCTGCAAAATATCAAAATCACAAAAACGCGAAATATAATAGCGATAAATATTAGTTGGAGTACAGTACATGTTTTATGTGCATTTTTCACACGTGTGTATTCTGTGTTACTGTACACTCCAAAACCATTACTGGATTATCTAGTGTATGCACTCAGTTGTTGTACTGATGTGTCTAGCATTATGAAAGAAATATTGTTTCAAGACAAAATAGCTGTTGATTAATATGTTTTGAAATGACCCTGAAATTATTGTAGGAATGGGCCTTTTTTGACTTGATCTGTGTGTACTCTAATATGTTCAGTTTACAACACATTTTCTTAAAAGTCCTATTATATTTCTAAATGCAGATACTGTCTAACATAGGTTAGCTATTTCCACTTGTATGTAAACATGATGAATATAAACACTTATTGTAAGAGCATTTTTTCCTTTAATGTGCATGTACAGCTGTGTATGAAATGGAGAAATCCCAAGTAGCTGGTGTTGTTCAATTTTTAATAGCTTATGAATAATGGTGTCAGGCCCAAGATAATTCTGAGCTATTCAAAAGATTGAATAGAGCCTAGCCACAAGGAATTCCTATTCAGACCAATCGTCTACTATTCCAAGTAGTTCTTGTGGATTTATCTAACATAAGATTTCTGTTAAATAAACCCAAGCTTGAAACAAAATGCCATGATTAAACTGTATTTAAAACAGCTGTTGGAAGTTGACAGGGATCTTTACGTACATGTTTATTGTAATGAATTCTTGATATCCATTTCACAACAAGAAGAGTATGTTTGTAACTTTTGAAGATTGGCATATTTGAGAAAGTAATTATGACCTAAATGTATGCTATTTCAATTTCATTCTTGATTTTAGTACTTGTCAACTTATTGAAGATCCTATGATGTCATTGAAACTGAAAATGATACACACAGAAGTATAATACCCTCTTTGGCTTTAGTTTTGTCTTATTTTTGGATCCTGGCTACTCCCCTGCTAGTATATCATGTCTCCCCTGCTAGTATATCATGTCTCCCCTGCTAGTATATCATGTAAAGCCTGTTAGGAATTTATATAGTGGAAGACTTGTATATATCTAAATGATGGCATTTATGAGAGATAGTATAATAATATATATACGGACATTTTTTACCTACTTCTACATTGCTTGTGGCTGTTTAAAAAAGTTCCACTTGAGTTGGCCACAGTTGGCTACAGTTGAGCCTGTTAAATTGAACACCTTTGCGAGTCCATATGCTATAAGCTAAATATAAAATAATCTAGATTTGTAGTTTTGGTATTCATTGTAATAAGTAATTCATCAATCTGTCATAGTTATATAAAAAAAGCATAAATCTTTCCAGTTTCCAAGTGTTCAATTTAACAATTGTTCTGTATATAGCTGGCTGGACAACTGACTCAGAATTGCTTTCACACAAGTAAAATATTAAAGTGGTCAGATTCCTTTTGTAAAATATGGTGGAAGAATGGACTAAAGAGGCAATATGCTAATCTTTACAAAATATGCTCACGCCGAGTGATCGGACAATAGGGAGTTAAAGCAATGTTTTTCCCAACTTTAACGTCAATGGAAAATAATTAAGCGATGCATTTGGATGTGCGATTGGTCATACATATACCGCAGGTTTGTGTTTCGATTTTATATGAAAGCTTAAACTCCCTATTGTCAAAATGAATGGAGGGGGAGCAGGCGATTTCTGTTTAAAATGGTCTCTGATGATGCACTGCTCTTCCCTTTCCAATGGTAAGAAAATTCATCAAATCTGTAACATTTATCTTTCAGGAGAAAATTTAGGGGCGTGATGCTTATCTTTACAATTTTTTCAAATTAAGTTTGAACTTTTAAGATTGTTTCATATCAAGTACCTCTGAATACAAAATTTTGTAAATATTTGCATATTGCCAATTTAACATAGTGTAGTACACAGGGATGAAGTCGCCAATCTGAAGCATTTTAAGGCATACACACGTACGTGCACTTTAAGAGGAATGCATTCCATTTGCTCACGTGCAGGTGCCTTGCTAAATGAATGTACATGTATAGTTTGGTGTAAATTAAATTCTCACATAGTAATATATATGTATACATAATGTAAAAGGAAACATAGCCTCGTCTCAAATCTCATCTTCCCTCCTAGAGAAAGAGAGGTTCGTGGGGCTTGATGCAGGGCTATGTAGGTCCTTGGTAGGATACGCTGCCATTTGAGCTCGATTGAGCTAGATGTCTGAAGGTTTACTGCCTTTAGACATGTATAATACCCCTACACCAGTGTCTGTTGTTAATGAATACAAGTCATTTTATGTCTTTCTATTGTATATGTGTATAGAACATGTACAATATCAATGTATTTGATCAAAGTCGAGCGTGCGTTCAAAACCAGTGCTATGTGAGTTATTCTTTGTATTTTGCAGTAAACTCACTACTCGGCCATGTTGAATAATATTTATCTAAGCTACAACCATTTCACCAATATCATTATTTATTTCGTATGTCAATTTCTGTAATATATGGTTTGTACAGTGTAATATACCCTTTTAGAGAATAAAACATGGTTCCTGATGATACACTGCTCTTCCCTTTCCAATGGTATTTGCTGATGTATCAACATGATTGGGGGTCTGTTATGATATCTTGGGTTCCCTTATAGGCCTACCTCTCTCATATTGAATCGATTTCTGTAGGTCTTGTTGAGAATAAACATCATCCAACTTGAGAATGGAAAATCATAAAAATGGGGATATCTTGATCATTCTGAACGAGTGAACAATGTATAGGCTAATGAAAAATTCACACCCAGCTTAACAGTGGGACGATACTGAATATTCTTAAAGAGTATAATAAAGTTTGAACCCTGTAATGTAACTGTTGGAATGTGAAGATGTAGTTGTAATGGAGGAATGGGAATATGTGGTGAAATTTATGCCCCAGTCACATTTGTACGACAATTGTACGGCAGCTGTAGCTTCCCGAAAAGATAAATATGCAGCATAAAATATAGGCTAGGGATAATCAGTACGTAAGCTATGGCTGCTGTATGCCCGTTGTAGAGCAAATGAGACTGAGGCTTTAGTCACCCAGGACACCTTAGTGCATCTCCTTGTCTTATGATATCTCAGTTGTATAGATTATCTGTCACAGAATGTAGATTCAGTAAATAGTTTGTTTTCTTTCTTGCATATTGTTTCAGCATACTGAAAATGATTATGTTACCAAATTTATATTTTATAAGGGACATTCCTTTACTGCACTGAAAACATGAATGTAGATTGATATAGCAAATCTCTAGAACATGCTTTTGAAAGTTTCAAGTTTATGTTACAGACAACATGCCCATAGCCAGGGGGGGTTGGAGGGTTTAAGTGACCCCCCTGGCCAAAACTTCTTTCAAAATCATGCAGTTTTTCACCAATCTGAGCACTTTTCAAGTCCTGTGTACAGGCCAGGATAACTTTTCATATACATGTATAACAGATTAATTTGCTATGTGAAAAAAAGTCTAAAATGTTATTTCAAAATGATTTAGATTCTACTTATATTGTTTATATTTTTCAAATCATGTGTTGTTTAAAAATGTATTCATTGATGAGAAAGGATGAAAATTTCTTGACGCATCTACTTCTCATTCTCTGTTATGTTTTCAGTGCAGTACATTAGGAATGTTCCGATTGTTGTCGTGTTTTAAGTACATGTATACTTGTTTCTTGTCCCATTCTATGCAGAGAATTTCACGTTTCAAGTAATGATTCCATTCATCCGGATATTTACATAAATGGAGAGATATTGCACAAGGAAATTTCTTAAAACTGAATTTCTCTGCAAGGGTTTTTCATGTGTGGTTGAGTTGTAGATTTATATTGACTTGTTCTTTTAGAATGTTTTTTTAGTCCCCTTACAAATAATTTCACACCAGTTAAATCTCTCAAGTTTTCACCCTCAGAACAGGGTCTCGAAGTCCAGAATATCTTCTTTCTCTTAATAGGGAGAACTTATACTGAACATCTGAAAGTTGTTCTCTCATAATTTCGTTGATATTTTGCAAAAATTAAGATTGACATATTGAAATTTTTTGTAAGGGCCAACCATACATGGAGTCCTCAATCAAGAATTTTCCTTGGTGAAGGAAGTTTGTAGAAATACTGTACAAAAATGGAAAATAAATTTTATAGAAAATTTATTCTGTTTGCATTTTGTTACTTATAATATGAAAAATTATATATAGAGCAATCTAGTTGTGATTTTACTTATCTAGTCTTGCCTCAGATAGAATTATAAAAACTGCCCATATAACATAATACTCAAGGCGATGAATTTGTCAAGGTTTAAAACTGACAAGGATTATTTGAATTGAACAACTGCATTTATAGTTCACAAAGTAAAATTGTCATATGCTGTCCTTCATTCTGGTTGTAATTCTATCTACAGTTATCTTCATGATCTTACACAGTTTCTCTCTCAAAAGGGTGTGAAATTCTTATTTTACCTGATTTGGTCAAAAATTAATTATGAACATATTTGTAAGAATACATGTTCCTTGAAAGTATCGTTTAACTTTCAATTATATTATATACAAATGTATTGCATGACACCTGCTAATGCCAAGGCAGTCATTATCCAATAATATTATGATAACACCATTCCTTGAAATACTAATGCTGATTTCTTATTTGGCACCCAATGGAAAGTTAAAATATTTATTTCCAGTCTTACACTTTAATTCTGTTACATTGAAGGTCAAAACCTCTGGATTATCAACCATAAATTCATCAAGTTTTTCTTGCAGATTTTTTTTAGTTTCTGGTGTCAATTTATTAAGACTTTCTCCCAGACTCCAAGCTATACTCATATGTAAGGATGGCTCCTTGTAGTACTCCCGTAGATTATACTCGACCAGGGCAGAATCAACAGTGTGTACCATTTTACACAGCATATCATGGCCGACTGTCACAGCAAGTGAAAGAAAACTTCTTGTTTTTTCATCATTGGTATAACAGTTCACGGCATCCATTGTGATGTATGTACTATCGTGTGATGCTAATTTCTTCCGCAATGAGTTGACGAGAGGTTTTATCCAATGATGACGGATAACAAACGTATGGGAGAGACTTATATGGAATTCCTCCATTGCATGGGTTTCACATTCTGGGATCATCTCCAATAATTCATCTACAAATTCTCGAAATTCTTCATCTGCTTCAAATGGGACATGTACATAAGTGGCCCAATTACCCCGCTCATGAGCAAAAGATCGCACCCTGCCACTATGATCACATGAATCTATGACATCATCAATGGATCTATCTCCATACATCTGCTGTATTCCTAAAGGCACTGAGGGTAATCTTTCACCACCATTCTGAGAATTTTTTTTACGCTTGGCTTCACCGTCATCTTCACTTCCCACCAGGAGTTTCCTCTTAGTGACATCATTTTCCTTTGTGACACCATTATCCTTTGTGACATCATCATCCTTTGTGACATCATCACAGGATTCTTCAGAATCAGAATATGTGACCAAAGACATCACATTTCTTTAAATGTCTATATTTTCAAAAACTCTCATTCCCATCCAGATTCAAATGTCATATGTTGTCAACTTCACTTTTATCCTGAAATATAAAATCAACAGTTTAAGAGCAAGAAAATACAAATATTTTGCTCTAAAAGGTTCTGAATATTCAAATATTTCAATTTGCCAAAATTTCACCATTCCCTCATGGGAAAGGTGACAACCAAAATATCAAACACATTTATATTATTTCATGCAAAAATTGTTGAATTACGTGAATTTTACAAGCTATACATGTACTCAGCTTTGTCTCTTTCCTTTTATCCTTTACTGCCCCCTTACAATATTAACCAGGTTCCTAAGGAAAATTCAATCAAAACCGAACGCTTTTAGCCACGTCCAAGCATGCTCAACTTGAATTGAATGATTTTTATTGAACTGCTGAATAAGTCATGTCCAATTATATGTAAATAACACTTTTAATAATACTCAATAAATCATACCTTCTTCACTTCTCTCTCTCTTTAAAATTTTCTCCAACTCCAACTGATCCTGCATGAGCTTTATATTCTGTTGTTTCTTCATATGCTGTCTCTCTATATCTTTGTACACACCTTCACGTAGTTTCTAAAACATACAAATTCATCTTGTAATTATTAATGCCAGTACACGGGGTGATTGTTGTGTGAGAGGCCAATCATTGTTCTAAATAATCTACAGAGTACAGACTGCAAAATGCTTCTTTTAACCAGAGAAATGTTAATAATTTCTATGTCTAGGTCTTAATACTGTACATAGTTGAAATCCTGATTAGATGGTAAAACATAAGTATTTTCCTTTTGCACAGATTTAAATGTGTTATATCAAATTCTATGACTATTTACACAGATCAATTAAACATTTCCAATTAAAATTGAGATAACAGAGGTAACGGAGCAAGTGATCTCTTTTCTTAGAACTTGACTCTATCATTTTATATGTGTTGAGTTCCCGGAGACTAAGCACTGGACAAAGATACAGGATAATGACCACCATACTTGAAATGATGGGTAGCCTATCAGAGATTGAGATGAAATCGAAAAATCGCAACATTCGCTACTTTGTTCAATTCCGGAAATCTCCAAGGGGCTACAAATGGGAAATTATTTAGATTTAGATTTTATAACCTCAAAATACTGCCTTCAGTGTCATGTTTGGCGGAGTTCCACAATGTAACCTAGCAGGATGGATGACATAGAACAAACTGCTAAGTAGACACATGGTAACATTTCATTTTTTCGTTATTTTAACCATGGGCCTTCTAGTTGAAAGCCCATGTTTTAACCATATGAACTGGTTCACAGAATAAAAAAATTGAGTGTAGTTTAGATCCCGGGGGGTTCACTATATATAAACCTTGACGGGGATCCTCGGCGCATGTGGGGTACCTTTTTCAACGTTTGGTATGGCAATGGACCCATATTTTAGGATTTGGTATGGGAATGCCCGGAAATTTCTGACTTCTGAGGTATGACAATGGTCAGACTTTTGCTCTTCTGGTATGAGAATGGTCGTTGTAGATACGTTACCTAACATTCGTGGTATGGCATTGGTCCAGTAGTTGCAAATTTGTATGACATTGATCCTATATTTCATTTACTTTGAATTAAGGTATGGCATTGGTCCCATATTTGGACATTTGGTATGGCATTGGTCCTACATTTTGACATTTGGTATGGCATTGGTCCCATAATTGGGCATTTGGTATGGTATTGGTCCTATATTTGGACATTTGGTATGGCATTGGTCCTATATTTGGACATTTGGTATGGCCTTTGGGCGTTATTTTGGCTGGTATGGGAACATATTGAAATTTGACAGATTGGTATGGGAACATATTGATATTTGAGGTTTCAGCCTAGGACCCCCGTCGAGTTTTATATACAGTGAACCCCCCGGGGTTTAGATCTAGTGTTGCATAATCGCAATGACCATGTGTTGAGACGATGTCAACCAGAAAAGTACCTCTAGTATTTCTGAAAGCTTTCCAGATAGTGCTATAGTATTTCGAAACATGCCATGTGTGTGACCATTAGTTATAACATACAAAAATGATATGGCTATGCTGCACATTCAGATTTCAATTTTCATGTGAAAATCATAGGGTTTTGAGAAAACTTTACCTCTCGATCACTCTTTTGTTTAAAGTGCACATAGCCCACGATAGCTGCAGTGAATACTATAGATGCACCAAGAGTTAGTTTGGATGTTGTTGACATGCTGAACACCCTACATAATACAAAACTGCAAACTCCAACTTTTGTGCCTATCTTTTTCTTTTTTTATTCTGTCATGACAAACTTCGGAAGTACTACTGAAAAACAATAAAGTATTCATAAATTGATATAAATGAAATACTTAAGTATCACACACATTTTTAATGAATAATAGTTAGCCAAGTACTAAAAGTACTAATGGGATGATATTTTATTCGATAGATAATTCACGTCATGACCTAAGTTAAAAATCCAATTAGCAGTTACAGGTATTCTGATTGGTCAATTTTGAAAGAACGTAATGTAGAGGTTTTCCTAAGTTTGTGAAACCAAATGATAAATTTTATCAAACAATGACACATTTATCTGCCTTATTATTTGATTAAGATGTGACACTATCTTAATGATATAGAGAAATTGTTTACATTTTAAAGAATGGACTTCTTACTAAATTAAGGAAATTAGGTCAACCAATCAGACAGCTGGTCTCAAAACTAAATTCTCCTGGTAACAAGATTTTATGTGAAGGTTGTTGTGGAGAAGCATATTATTCAGGTAATCTACATATTTTGAGTTATTTGGTTTCAGATAGACTGCAGTTGATTAAACACTTGTAACTCTATGCTCAAAATGGTGTTTAACATTGTGACAAAAGTAAAGTCTAGATCTACATAAAATCATTTCTCAAGATTCAAATTTATTTCAATTTTCATTTCATTTTCAAATTGAATAATTTCTGTTCAGTGCATACTAGATCTAACATAATTTTATGTCTAATGATGGTCTCAAGTGCTAGGCTGATGTTGATTTTGGAGCCGGATTACGCGGCAATGTGGATTAGCACCCAAAATGCAACATGACATGTGTCAGCTTTCAAAATGCTCTTCCGCCATTTTGAAATCTGTCACGAGTAAATAAGGTTACCTGATGTTGCATTCTGGGAGTCAATCCTCGGATCACAAACATGGCGATTCATGAAAAAATTCGTTCGATTTGGTAGGGATTTATCCATCATTTGGAGGTATGAAGCTTTGGATTAATTTATTTCTACCGCTTGGGAGAGTTTGAGACACGAAACTTAGAATTTAGCTCATTGTGACAACTTTTGAGGGTTGAGATGGGGTATTTACTCCGGAAAAAACACACTGGTTTTTCAATGTATAATACGTGCTGATAAATGAATAAACATCATAAAAATCACTTACGTGTTTGTTCCTCGTATCAAACTTTGTATTTATATTAGGTTTCCATCGCTGGATGACGGCTAATAAATAAGAACGAAACGTCTAAACGCAGCAAAAAGAAAAATTCTTCTGCAATCTGTTCGTGATCTCGTAGAATATCGAGAAGTCTCGGCTGCTTATTTCGTTCAGTACTACATTCCGTCAGTTCAACAAATTGAAAAATCGTATTTAATGTCCACCATATTTCTTTCCAGTTTAAATACAACACAGACACGTCTGTTTTATAAAGTAATCTACGTTTTGATAACAAATCTGCTGAACAAATCGTAATATTTGGAATGTATTGATTCCCGGGAAATGTATTTTCGTTCCATGAAATTTAAAAATTATTGCGTCACACTCGTGTTACGTCATATCACGTGACTTTATTCGGTGCGGAGAACTGACGAAATATTGACGAAATGTTGTGCCCATTTCAACATCAATATAACAAACAAAACACCACATTTACGCGTAAGTTATGTTCTCTTTATTTCAAATCAATACTTGGGTTTACATGGTACCCGATGTTTTGGTTGGATGGCTAATAGGGAATGAATAATAAGTGATGATTCAGCAGTGTGTTTTTTCCGGAGTAAATACCCCCTTTTTTGCATTGGACCTAGTCTGGCCCTAGATCTACGACAATTCAGAATCGGGAGTAGATTACTGGGCCAGACGGGTTTGGTTAGAGATAACCAAACCCGTCTGGCCCAGTTATCTACTCTCGATATCGTAGATCTGGGCCAGACTCGATCCAATGCAAAAAATGGGGTATTTACTCCGGAAAAAACACACTGGTTTTTCAATGTATAATACGTGCTGATAAATGAATAAACATCATAAAAATCACTTACGTGTTTGTTCCTCGTATCAAACTTTGTATTTATATTAGGTTTCCATCGCTGGATGACGGCTAATAAATAAGAACGAAATGTCTAAACGCAGCAAAAAGAAAAATTCTTCTGCAATCTGTTCGTGATCTCGTAGAATATCGAGAAGTCTCGGCTGCTTATTTCGTTCAATACTACATTCCGTCAGTTCAAGAAATTGAAAAATCGTATTTAATGTCCACCATATTTCTTTCCAGTTTAAATACAACACAGACACGTCTGTTTTATAAAGTAATCTACGTTTTGATAACAAATCTGCTGAACAAATCGTAATATTTGGAATGTATTGATTCCCGGGAAATGTATTTTCGTTCCATGAAAGTTTAAAAATTATCGCCTCACACTCGTGTTACGTCACATCACGTGACTTTATTCGGTGCGGAGAACTGACGAAATATTGACGAAATGTTGTGCCCATTTCAACATCAATATAACAAACAAAACACCACATTTACGCGTAAGTTATGTTCTCTTTATTCCAAATAAATACTTGGGTTTACATGGTACCCGATGTTTTGGTTGGATGGCTAATAGGGAATGAATAATAAGTGATGATTCAGCGACATGTTTTTTCCGGAGTAAATCCCCCTTTTTAGCATTGGACCTTGTCTGGCCCAGATCTACGACGTCAGGAGTAAATAACTGGGCCAGACGGGTTTGGTTAATCTGGAGAGTATCAATGCACTCTTTGCGATTCAAGAGCTCATTTCCTTTTGCCGCTTGTTCAAATATTTTCTTTAAAGAAACATGGGCTTTCAGCTAGAAATTAATCTAATTGAACCCCATGAAAGAACCAAAAATGGCTCTTTTAATAGAAATTGATGAAATAAGACTTAATCTGAGTGATACAAGAATATCTGGTCAGCAAAATGCACTGAATTCATTTCAAGTAGTCAGTGTTCAGATTTCAGTGTCTTCACCAAAAGGCAATTGGTAACATTTTGCAAGTTATGCCTGTTTAGATCTATAGCATTCATATTTATTATTGTAGATTCTACCAATACCTAAGGCAAATATTAGAGACACAATCACAGAATCCTCAAATTACAGGAGGAACGATGACAGCTGGTTCAATTGCCGTACCAACCATTGTGCCATTGCGGGCACCCATACCAGGCCAACATAAGACTGCTATAGACAGTAATACGAGGATAGAAATAGCATCAGGTATTAATGCAGTGATCTCCCTAGCATTAAAGCAAGTGGGCGCAGCACAAACCTGAGATTTTGATAATAGACTTGCACCCACCTGAGAATCCATTTGCACCCATTTGAAAATAAGAAAAATCATGAAAAATAGGCATATTTTGACCAATTTTGGTCTGAATTGTGAAAATGAGAATTTTGCACCCACTTAAGAAAAAATCCTGTGTGAGATCAATGTAATGTATCTTATAATGAAACTGCATGATAATACATGTAACTGGGAGTATTGAGCTGTCCTGTCATAACCAGAGGATGCATTTCCCTGTTATAATCAGGGTTGCATCCTTCCTGTCATATCTAGGAGAGATTTTTTCCTGTCATAACTAGGGGTGCATTTCAACGTCTTAACAAGGATGCATTTATCAGAAGCTCCTATCTAAGAATTTTGAAAATTCAATTTTGATAAAAAGTGTTGGTACAATGATATTGAAATGTTTTTTTTGTCCTCATTAGAATGATATGAGTTGATTGTTCTAAGGTGAACCCCTGGCCTTCTTTCAGAAAATACACAAACATATTCCTTTTATTTCCATGTTGAAAATTGTGGGCCTGAGTTTTAATATACATTGTATAGATCAGCCACCCCCTGAGAGCTATTTGTTTGGCCCATTAATATTTAATTTCACTGTATATTAAGCCTCAGATCAATATCTGTTTCCTATATGTGATCTACTTCCTTTGTTTTTACGAAGAGTAACATTATTAATATTGGAAGAAGCTATTGTTATTGAAGACTGTAAAAAATAATCACATTAATTATTTATCATACTCAGCGTTACTATCTACTGTGTTTCTCCATGCAGTTCTATTTTTATTTTGTCATGGTATAATATGCATACAAATAATCAAGTGCATTGATTGCAGAAAATGATTTTGAAGGCCAGTACTTGTTTAAAAACCAAACTCTTTTGATTCAATGTATTTTTTCTTTTATATAGTTGTATATTGTCAATGTCACTTTCAAGTTTCTATATGGCCTTGATGCTTGCTCATCATGTTAAATGGACTGACTTTTATTATCCAAATAAATAAACTTGGTAAGGAGTCCAGGACATTTTGAAACCGTTTGAAAGTCAGTTCATCCTTCAAATACTAGTGTGCTGATCTCTCAGGAAATCTGTATGAATTGCAGAATGGGCCAAAATATGTTACTCTTATTGTATTCTTGCCAGTTCAGAATGGGTAACATTTTTTGCCCACCCTGCGTCTTCTACATAATCTTACCACAATTGAATGAAACTGGTAAAAATCTGTTTTTCTGAATTGACAGCTAGTGCTATAGCAGACTATAAAAAGAAAATATCACAGGATAGTCATTTGACCTTCAATTGTACTGACTGGAAAGTTTGAATAATAAATACCATGTTATATTATACCTTTTCAGAAACGCATGGAGTGACTGTGTTCTACACAACAAATGGTTCAAAACCGGAACCCTTCCAGAAGGTTGGACCCAGGAACACTTACAAATACAGGGAACCATTCACTCTTCCTGGGGGAAAGCGCATCGTCAAAGCGGTGGCAGTTGAGAAGTAAGCCCATGCCTGGAAACTTTGGATTATATTATTGTTATACTCTCCAACTTTTCTGTGGATGGCAGTTGGTGTTCGGCAGTCAGCGTTTGTAACACATTCTTACACCATCTAAGAAATTCTTACAGCACCCGTAACAAATTGTAGTTTGCATTTTAATGCCTTGTTTCATTTTAACTCCCCTGTTTTTCATAACTATAAAGATATTGTCCGGTGTTTAGTTTCATGTCTATCAGTTCTAAATTACAAAAAGGGGACAAAAACTCCAGATTTTATTTTGATTAAGGGAAATGGATTTTTAACTGAAATACATTTCAATATTCTCAACTGATCCAGTTGTGTCGATTCTGGAGAAACCACTAACATGTCAAACTTTGCTTCAGTGATGGCCTGCGTGAAAGCAACATTGTCACTAAGACATTTGAAGTGGAATACATAGAGCCAGACCCCCCGCCCAGAGTAGATGATGAACATGGATTTGTCAATGAACTCAACAGAGAACGAAGGAAAGGGGTGAGTTATGTTTTGTATAGTCAGAGCAGTTTTGTCATAAATAAAAAATGAAATTGAAAAATGTGTTATGGTATGGATTAAGTTCATTTGATAGCCTTTGAACATGATAAATATTAGATTAATCAATAAATTTTACTGCTTTTTTTACTCACAACCCAGACAAAGTCAGCCTTTTTCACAAATCTTTCACTACTTATTTTTATTCATGAACATATATTATATCTTTATTGTAGAAGCGTGGTACAGATAAGTCCCTAATGTCCCAGTTATTGACTGCAAAGGAAGCTTGGGAAGATGTACAGAATCATAAGGAAATGGAGAATAGAATGGCTGGTAAGTATGGAACCCATGTCCATCTGCCTTCAACTTATCGATAGTCATGCATATTTTAGTCTAGGTATATCTTTCTAAAATTTAAATGAGCGAGCTAGTTTTCTGACATTTTTATACAATCTAAGATGTGATATCATGTCTGTTTATTTTGTTTATGGTGACATATTGTTAAAGTTTTTAACTTTTTGCGGACAGTGTTGGCGTTTCGTGGTCAGCATTTGGTGTCTGTAACAAATGACATGGCATCTGTAACAAATGGCAGGTGGTGACAATTTGCATTTTAATGCCTTGATTATAAGATATTTTGAAATGTAAACAAGACTAATGTGATATGCGATATGTGATTTAAAGTGTACAACATTTTAACCAATCCCTAGGAAATAGGACTTCACTTGTTTCCCATATATGATGGGTCATGAAAAATTACATGTACAGTGTACATATTTAGCATTCCAACAATATTGTATTAACTGCACTGACACCCTAGTACTGTCAATCAATTATGTCCAGAGATCAATATCACATTGTCCCTTGGATTGAAATCTTTATTCATGGCCCGCCATTAAATGAGCCAGGCCACAGGAAAAGGGGTCTTATCACAGATTTTTCAATATTTTGTTTTTTTGTTTATCTTAAAAAGCACAAAAATACCTTTCAAATGAGCCATGACTTATGACTTATGACTTGATGGTTTGATCTTGGGCACATTTTTGGCTCTGTAGCACAATTTCAATTTTTGCGATAAGACCGGTTTTCCTATGGCCAGGCTCAAATACCCCTCTGTATATATTCCAGAAATGAAGGTGAATGGAAGCAACAGACATAGACCAACTAACAAGGCCAGGTTTACTCAGTCAAGACTTGGCTATCCTGATGCCTCAGACAAGGCCACCGTGGGACAACATGTAAGTCCCCATGGGGTATTGAGTGGGGAGGGACACATATGGTTCTTGTGCTGAGGAACAAATAGGCAATTTAGAGAAGATACCTCTTTGATTTTAAGAGAGTTTCTGACCTCTAATCAGGGCTTTTGTCAGGACTTTAGATATTGTAAATACCATATTTTGAGTACATTACTTACATAGAACAAAACCACCATTGTCTAAATTGACAAAACACTACCTTAATCCTCAGTTAACCAATTGATAGAAAATGCTAGTTAAAACATATTGATATTTTTATTTTTAAGATTTTTGCTGAAGTTTTACTAATCATTAAACAAATTCTAATTTCTCTTTTGGAATTATTTTTTGGTCCTTAAAAGGACCGTTTGGTTTGAATTTCTGACTGGTCAAATAACTTCATGTGAATCGAACGCCATGTTTCGGTCAATTAACTTCATGTGAATCAAACGCCATGTTTTTTTTGTTTATGCTGTAATTCAGAATACAAATCTCTTAAATTGCTAGCTTTCATGTTAGCATAGATGTAGAACTGGTCCCTCACTTCTCTCCAAGAGCACAGTTGAAGTTGTATACTGTAAGAGAAAGATTGTTTCCCATCTCGTTTGGCTCTGTCATACCGTACAGTTAGATCATCTATCTTGTGTTGAAGTATGATGAGTTGGTTCCTAGCTTTCAGGTACTTCACTTTGCATTGTTTCATTTCTTCTTGTATCTCTGAAATTGTGTTTAGCTCATTGCTGGTCTGTGTATCAAACTCATTGCTATACTGCATTGAGCTGTTTGGCTCTTTGGATATATCTGACAAACTCATAATTTCGTATCTTGAGTTTTAATGCTTAAGAGAGAAGTAACAACAGTATTGTTTTAGTTGTCTTAAACTAGAACTTGGTGATTTTAATGTCAGATCAGCTTTCTTTTAGTCCCTTTGCAATATATTTTGACAATTGATGAGGATACTTTTGCATCCGCATACTTATAGCAGAAATCACTGGCTTCGATTTCAAATTAATTTTCCTGACAGATTTTGAGATAAAATTTTTGACAACTGAGTTGTAATATTTGACATTGGCTCAAAGTCGAGCTCACCACTGTCAAATTTGAGATCTAGAGTTAAGTAATTTAAATGACACTCAGCCAAATACCTCCCAGTATAATCCATTTTGAGCGAAATAGCTCCAAGGTTAATCCATTTTGAGATGGCTTAAAGTTTGTAATATGACATTATCAATATGTGAAGGCAGTAATGGCTTAATAGTATGGCTTCATTCTTTTTTCTGATTTGCCATTGTCTCATCCTAGTATGCCTTTGCAATTTGTTGAGATAAATTACTTTATATTTATTTGCAATTTAAGCTTGAATAAATCCATATTCATTGAAAGAATAGATTAATTTCAAATTCAGAAAAATATCAAATTTTAGTAATAGTACAATAACGTCATTTCAAAGGGCAATATAGTGAAATATTGGACCAATGGCGCAGGCCCAAGGTCCAATATTTCACTATTTTGCCCGCAGAAATGACGTTATTACTATTATTACCACCGTTAATGACCAGGGCTGAAATAGCAAATTTGAAATAGAAAATCTTACGCACTGAACGATATCACTTTTCCCGGGAAACATAGCCGGGCGGATAATGTCATTATTGCCCGACTAAAGTCATTAACGCCCGACACAATATTGCTCACGTCAATATAGCAATTTAAATGCCTTCTCAACTAGTACTAAAACCCCTAGAACAGGCCCTGCAAGGTGGTAATAATAGGCAATAATGTGAAGGATCTTTTGGGCACTAATTGCATAATCATCTCTGTAGTGACAAATAATTCCACTATTTTTCTGTCATAACCATAAAAGCCCTTTCTAACTGATAAAATCTTTGAAAAGAAGATTGTTGTTCATATTAATAGAATATTGAATCAAGATAAATAGTATATATTTGAAATCACGGAAAAACAAAGTATCCCATTATTTGTTAAAATGAGTACTGTGCAAAGACTACATGAATTCTTCAAATAGTCTATATGATAATTACCTATCGCATTCATCTGATTTAGCTTCTTAAAAGATAGCCTCGTCTTCACTCTTTATGTTGAAGACAAATCCCTAACTTGCCGAGCCAACTAGAGCTTGTCTTGTATTTTTACCCAATATTGACCCACCATTATTTAAATGTGTATCTTTCTGCTTCCTGATTGGTTAAGTAAAGATCAGCATGGTTGGGTTGAATTGGTTTATGACCGGACTGCGGGTCCCTACCCGAGTAGAGAGAGCAGGGCCGCTCAACTTTAAAATTGTCTTAATTATTCAGATGATATTTTTGAACTAACCTCTGCATTTGGTGTATTGGATAATCAATATAACAACATATTTCAGAGTATCCGTGACAATATGACAGTGAATGGAGCTACAGATCTTGACCACTTAGACTACCCTGAGAGAAGACGTCCCCCAGACTCAGCTACTCAGGCACTAAGACTGCAGCGGGAAACTGATTTCTTAAAGTGAGTAAACTAATTTTCATGCGTTTCCTAACAAATTACACACATTTGTTGTCCTTTTTAAAATACACTTATTAATAGCTCAACTAAATATGATTAAGTTGAAAACTGTATTTATCTGACCGAAATAATTTTTGAAATTAATGAACTCCCTTCATGTTATTTTTCTCCAGATGTATATAATGCTATGCTAAATAATTTATGAAATTAATGAACACCCTCTTTGTTATTTTTTGCTCCAGATGTATATACTGCTATGCTCCCAGACCAGCTGATCCCTATGCCAGGTTCTGCAATGAATGTGGGAGTCCCATACCTCCTCTGCCACAAACTAGACTACCCCCTCCTGAGGCAGGTCAGGTAAGAATGAATTGTGGATGGGAGTCTGATACATTCTCTGCCTAAGACAAGACCATCTCCATCTACTGCTGCTGCTAAAATTATTTTCTTAGAATTTACTTTCCATTACTGGTTCATCGACATTTGAAAATTCAAATCAGATAGATCAAGTATAATGTGTAACACATTAGAGAAAACCTTCAAATATATAGCTGACATGCTGAAATGAAAAAACAACATTTTAAATAATGTTCACATGGAAAAATGCTGTCTCGTCCCTCCCTCTCCTCCCCTCTCTTTTTCATTTACACTTTAATAAACATTAATAAACATAAAACTCATTCTTCCAGATGGGTATGTGTGTCTTCTGTAAATCAATGGTGCCTTTCAACACCCCTCAGTGTCTCATATGTGAGGCCCCAATTCCTGCCCAGAACCAGCCACAGGCCAGCATCAAGCTCGATGATAAACTCCTGTGTGTTGTCTGTGGAACCGCAAATCCATCCAACCTTGTCACGTGTGTGACCTGTGAATCAAAACTACCTACCCAAGCCAAAGTAAGTATTGAAATAGAGCTTTGGGGAAAAGTTTATGTTGATCATTGATTAGGGGTTTACATATGTAGAGTATTATTCACAATTACATCTATAATTGAGTTATACTTTCTTTATCAGTTGACATTAAGTTTTGAGGAATGTTTGACCCTATTCTTAAAATGGTACCTTAAAATATCTTAATTTATATTTTATTGCAGTTTTATTTGTGAAACATGAATTAATCATGCAAGGTATCACAATCCAGTATAACTTATTTTTTAGCTCAGTAACTTAAAACTGGTAATTGCATTTTATGTCTTATACACACATGGTGCTAGGGCGCATGAATTAGTATATAATAGCAATGATCTCCCCAGGATTTTATCTCAGGTGAGTGCAAACTTCTCATTTTCAGACCAAAATTGGTCAAAATATGCCAATTTTTCATGATTTTTCTCATTTTCAAGTGGGTGCAAATGGATTTTCAGGTGGGTTCAAGCCTATTTTCAAAATCTCAGGTGGGTGCTTTGCCACTTCCTTTAATGCTGGGGAGATCACTGAATAGACTACATGTTTAAGGGATTATGTAATTTAGATAAATGTCATGGTTTAAAAGAGTTGTATCCAAAATGGAAGCCTGCATATGTGGGATGGAGCAGTAATATTACATTTACAGTCAGAGATGCAACTCTTTAAAATTACATTGACATTTTAATATGCTTATAGTACAATAACTAAGATGGAATTCTGCATATGTTGTAACATTACAAATATGTGAATATCCACCTTGGTTACAATGGTAACCGGACAACTCATCCCCTAGACAACTCATCCCCTAGGCAACTTATCCCCTGGACAACTCATCCAATAGACAACTCATTCCCTGGACAATTCATATATAATATTTATAATGAGTTGTCCAGGGGATAAGTTGTTTATGCGATGAGTTGTCCAGAGATAAGTTGTCTGTAAGCAGTTATAATCACATAATGTAAAAAATATATTGAAATGGAGAGAGTTTGGCACTTCATTTAAAGTTTACAGGGAACAAAATACAGAATGGGAAATATGCATAGAAGCATGACATCAGAATCACTGGGGGGTATCGTGATGCAACAACACCGTGTTGTTGCATCAAGATGGCCAGACTTCCGGTGATAGATTTTCGTACGATATTTTGTTTTCCCAATTTAAACCCATTTCTAGGACGAGTTGCTCAATAATCATACACATGCAGTTAGCTCATGATCTATATTTTAAAAAACTCTCATTAGTATGCATGTAGCATCATCAAGAAGCAAGAAATTCGCGGTTTTAATTCCTCACTATTGATGCAACAACACCACTCTGTTTATTATCGATGATGCAACAACACCAATGTGCTGATGCAAAAACGCCAATATAATGTATCATTGAATATCAAGAGAAACTGTTTTATGTTCTGTTTATAGGTGTTGGCCGGGACATGAATAAAACGTGTGAGTGCGTGGTTCATGAATGAAACGTATTTTGTTTGGTTCCTTAATGTATTTGTCTTTATAAAGTAAAAAAGGATATACAAGGTAAACTAAATACATAGGCTAAGTATTGAATCCCCGGGAGCCAACCTCATTGATATTGTATCTGAAAAATAAAGATTATTCATTTTCTAAATTAAATCCCCTTGATTTACCGTATCGTATGGAAATTGTTTACAAATATAACTAGACTTTGGAAATTGAACAAGTTCAAATCCAGATTCTAGATCTGGACTTTTTTAAGCCGAGTCATCCAGAAAAAGATGGATGAAATAGGAAGGAGGGATAGGACAGAATAGGATGGAACGATGGGAGAGATAAGAGATAAGGATAAGATAGGAAGTAAAGGATAGGAAGGATAGATAGATAGGAATGAAAGGATATGAAGGATAGATAAGAAGGAAAGGATAGGGATAAAAGGGATAGGATAGCAGGTTATGATAGAATAAGAAGGAACGATAGGATAGAATAGTAGGATAGGATAGGAAGGATGGATGGATTTTTCAACATTTTCTTCGCTACTCTTTCTATCAGGATACCATCAGATCGATTTTTCTCGAAATTTCAAAACGCCATAACTTCCGAACCGGAAGTCGGATCGAAATTTGGTTTGCAGATTCTGATTCCTGAGAAAATTCTATTCTTCATTCATAACTCAAACGTTAAATTTGCAGAATTTCTTATTTTGACCTACTTTTTGGACACCATATCTCAAAAGTGGGTTAAAATACTTTCTGACGGCAAAATGCTAACACTATAAGTACACTCTTGGCTACATGTATACACAATTTCGAAGAATATAATTGAAGTGTAGTGTCAGAATCACAAAAATAAGGAAAACTTTGAATTTGACCTAGATTTTGACCTAGACATTTTTCTGTCCAAATTTTGAAGCTAGATTGCTTTTGAGGTACCCTTCATTTAAAGGCTTTCATTAAATTAAGCTGTACTCGATCGTATATATGTCGTATTTTACACTTCAAAAAAAAAAGTTTTCCCATTGACTTAACATGGGGCACCAAATTTAGCGATTTTGAGTTTTCAAAACGCCATAAGTTCCGATGAGTGTTGGTTTAATGATATTGCAGTTATACAATGCTATTATATAGAGGTTATTTACTGAGAGGGATTCAATATTGGTTTTATTCCGGGACACATTATGATATTTCCCGAGGGCCCAGGGGAAATCTGGGATTACTGTACCCCTATCAATTTACCTTTTCGGGACCTAAATCCTATTACCTACCTTTTTACTCAATCGGTGAGAACGAATCCAAAGAGAACAATACTTCAACATGTGCGCTGTGCAAGATTTCCAATAGCTCGTCGTGTTTACCGAGAACGAAAGATGTTTGTCCACCATTTTGAATGACACTAACTGGTATCAAGGTCATCAAGCTATGGAACAGGGGTTTATGATAATAGATTGGGTTACCATAGCTTGCAATGTTAAAGGCGATTGAACTATGTTATAAAATAACTTCCAGTACATTATGATATTTAAAAGTATAAATTTTTGAAAATACATATAAAGAATCTTCGCCGCAGGACATGTATTTTGAATGCCTGAGAAGAACGCAAATGGGTACTGGCCCGGTGTTGCAATAGTGGCATTCAAAAATCTGTTCCTCTCGAGATTTATGGTCTTCTGAAATTATACTATTAATTGGTGTTGTTGCATCATTGCTCAAATCTAGAGGAGTGTTGTTGCATCTTCGGTTTGGTGTTGTTGCATCAATAGTGAGGAACTAAAACTGAACTTCTTGCTTCTTGATGATGCTACATGTATACTAATGACAGTTTCTTTAAATATAGATCGTGCGCTAACTTCACGTGTATGGTTATTGAGAAACTCGTCCTAGAAATGGGTTTAAATTGGGGAAACAACATATCGTACGAAAATCTATCACCGGAAGTCTGGCCATCTTGATGCAACAACACGGTGTTGTTGCATCACGATACTCCCCAGTGAGAATGGTGGTGGGGATAGCAATCTAACCCATACATTGCAGGAATTAATGGTGCATGTACATGACAATTTGCTTTGTTCATTCAACTCTAAACATGGTGTTTGGTTCTTGGAATAATATCGGAGATAGCCAATTCCCCAAATTATGATTTACATTTTCACGCTTTGCTAAAACAGAGATGCTTTTCAAAACTGTCATATGAGTTTTATAACATGACTTTGATGATGCTCAAAAAAGTTCTAACTTTGCTTTCTATGTCGTAAATAACTGCATGTCGCATGTTTATGCAGCCAATCTTCAGCGGCCAATCAGCACCTCCGATGCCAAGTCAAGATGGCCGCCTTCTAACGTGCACAAAATGTCGTCGGGTAAACAATAGTGATGCACGGTACTGTGATTGGTGTGGAGCTAAGGTAGGAGGCATCTTTTTAATTTCTGAATTCTTTCTTTTACTTTGATAAATCCAACACCAGTTCATTTAATCATCAGTTTGTTTTATAACAGTGTTTAGTGTCACTCCAATTTATCTTATTCAATTTCATTATTTTGCCGACTATAAATTACTTCTACCAAACATAACATGCTGAGAGAAAGTACAATGATTATGTTTAAGTACATGTATAGAAAATGACAAGTGGAAAATAACAAAAGAACTTGTCTAGTAGCTGTAAAGTATAAGAAAGTTTACATTTTTATTTTTAGATTCAAAATTTTGTTCTGTTTAAATCTTTTAAATGAGAGATAAAGTTTTAGCATTGCCTAATAATTTGATCATTGTATGTTGATTTAGCCTAAAGAGAAGGTATAAGCTATTAATGTCCCATACCTTTTATAGATGTCTCTTGTGTAGACTTATACCTGCATGCGTTGTATAAGTGGTGTGTTTTTTTTAAAATGACCGTCAATTTAGTAATAGCTGTAAAGTAGTTACCATCTTTCCTTTCTTTTTATGTAATTGGAGTTTGCCAAATGCAGTTTTATAAATGACAGAAATACACCCTAAAAATAAAACCCTTCCATGATACCAAAGGCCTTGTAAAACTACACCATTTTCAGGCTATTGGCCATGAAAATCTCAAATAAAATCATTTATTTAAAATAAAACTTCCATGCATGGGTACCATTAAAATGCTTGTCCTTATTTAGATGTTGTAGAATTGTATCCCTGTACATGTATATGCTATAGGTGTTCTGTAGGAGAATATACCACTGGGATTTACATCAATCTCTGATAGGATTATTGTTGGTAACCACATGTAGTACATGTACTTAGATTGTCAATTTTCAGTTTTTTGTTGGTGTTAAAGTTGTCATTTCAGTTCTACATATAGTTATTGAGCACTGTGTGCCTTTTGTTATTTAGTATATGTTTATTGATATAAGGTCCACAATTTGCTTATTATTAACAAGAATATGAATTTATTTGAGATCGGGGTTTTAATTGAACTTAGGCGGAAATGGGATCAAAATGGATCTTGAACTTCATGACTCACACATGTGCAACCACTTTGTCTTGAACTTTTCAAAGGGAACTTCTCTAATTCAAGACATACATGTAGATAAGGGGTCTGGTTAATCAGTATATGTCTGGAGAAATTTTGGAGTCATTATACATTAATCAAAACGTCAAAAGGCTTCTTAAAAGAAGAAGATAATTTGTTTTAACACTACAAAAAGGTCTTACTTATTTCTTTCATTTCAGCCTAGTCCAGCTGCCCGACACTTGATCTGTTCAAAGTGTAAAGCAAGCAATGGGCCATATGCACAGTTCTGTGGGACATGTGGGGTGATTCTTGAGCCCCCTAGACGTATAGACCCCCGCAACAGTGGAATGGCAGTCAACATGGCAGGAGATGTAAGTTATAGTGATAAACTATCGTGATATGGTCCATTATATCATAGACTTCAATTTGTGATTATACATCTAGGAGTAAATCTTTTGATTCCTCAATTTGTGTAAAATGTCCAAAGCTCTGCAATAAAATTACAGTCATGTAATTTATGAAATTGCTGATTTAAACATTAAAATTAAAGTGCCCGATAAAGTATAAAATGCGCATGCGTCCAGGTGTTGATAAACTATAAATAGCGAAAATCCAGGGTTTGTCACCACAAGGTAAGCCAGGACGTGTTGAGAGAACAGCTAGTGTTGATATTGAATTTATATGTAGCCAGATAAATTTCCTTATTGAAATTACATATGGTTATTAGCAATACATTGTAGGTGCTAAATAATAAAATATTTAGAGTATGTATGAGAGAAATTGGTCATTTCGAACCCGTTGAAAAGTTGTGGCTCTCGGCTACACCGGGGAATTTACTTCCATGAGTACACACATAAATGTGGGGTTCCCCAAGAGGTACGCGACAAGGTGACCTGGCATCAAATGTGCGACTAAATGCTACTATCGAGAAGATAAATAACGAATACGACAATAAGTTATTGCATGTGACAATTCCGAGCCTTCATTTCACTGAAGTATTTTGAAGTGAAAATAGGATTTTTGTTTTGATACATGGATTCAGATGAACGTAACTTTATTCTGACAACTAATCAAAACTGAACAAAATTGATTGTACGTAACAGACAATTTATTGTTTTACAATGTTTTGATTGGCTAAACGAATGAAACCAACAAATTATGACATGTAAAATGACAATTTTGAAATGTAAAATTTAAAAGTGACAAACACAACCTCCCTATCCACTCTTTGGGAGCCCTAGTAAATTAGTAATATGTACATGCAGCAGTGGTAGTGTGCAGCTTATTATCACACTACGCTTTGTATTCTAAAGCCTGTTGTTTGTAATAACACTGTTCACTCAACGTATGTTTTGTGTGTGGGCAGTCAACGATAATCATTGTTTTATCCCAGTTATATGACCTCGGCAATTATAACAAAACCGTACTAAACGAAAAAACGCAAATAAGAGAAAGCTTTCACACACATATAAAAAATGAACTAGTCTAATCCGCCAGTATAAACTCTGTGCTATACGTAGCCGGGTCAGGCGCACACTTTAAAAAGAAATAAAATATACCAAACGCAGATTTCTTAACAGTTATTGTTACTACAGGGTAAGGTTGATGCACAGTGGCTGCCCGTGACTGTCACACTACCACAAGACATTCCTCGTTGTGACACATCCACACAGACTGTAGGATTGTTTTTCCCATCTGGGCGAGAAATCACAAAGCGTGAAGTTGAGGAGGAAGAAAGATTAGCCCAAGAAAAATTAGCAAGAGATAGAAAACCTTTATTGACATCTGTTAGTCCTGGTAAAGGTGAGAAAGTATATTTTGGACATTTATAATTTATCATTCTTGAATAAATACATGCACTTTCCAGTTTCTACCTTCATTTACTCTAGGCCTGCTATGTATGATTACCATCCTCATAATTCTTAAAGAAATAAAGTGAATATTTTTTGAAAATTATTGCATTCTCACTTTTGGGAGACATTTCAAAGAGTTTATCCATATTTGTCTTGATTTCTCAAAAGTGAACCTGGGAGTGTAGGACACTTCTGATAATTACATGTATTAATTTAGGATACTGGCGCAAACAGATGGAGCACATATGTACGCACTTGAAGGCGCATGCTCAGAATGATGCTGAGTTTAGAGCTCTTGTAGGTGAACCAAGGATGGGAAAGGTGAGGGCTTTTGTATTATTTGAAGGTCCACCCCTGGTGTATCAGTATTTGTTGTCCCTCCTCTCCCCAAGAGAGAAATGATGCATATTTGTAGCACACTTAGAGCCTGTAACACCCTCACCTAGTATATAGAAAAGCAATTGAGTTTAATTCTACTTCACGTTGTTTTTATATGATCTCAATGTGCATACATAATATAGTTCATATTGCAACTTGTTTTCATATAACTCGGATGCACGCTTTAAATGAATAACTGAAATCAAAATATATTTTATCCTTTAATGTTTCAATTCACTATATGAGTGTGGAGTTACTCTCCTGAAATGCAATTCTTCTTCCAATAATATTTTGGTATGAATTACAGAGTTACATTTCAACATAATAATTTTACTTGTATAACATTTTAGCTACTGACGACAGCAGTACATGAAGACGGGTACGAACTCAGCCTCACTGTGAACTTTGCCCTGCGTGGAAATCAGGATCCCTTCAAAGGCAAAAACCTTGGCATGAGCAAGGGAGAATATCTCAGTGCATATACAGAAGGGAGGAGAGGTAGTGTAGGCAGTTTTGCCAGTATGGATAGCTTAGGTAGGTAATATTGAATTGCAGATTCAAACAAACACTAAAGGACTATTCTCGGTTTGGAGAACGAAGTTCGTCACTCTAATTGAGCGTTATCCCTGCTTCGGACAAATTTGATTTGTTTTACATAATATAGATTTGAATGTCTTCTTTTGAATAGTTATAATTTAATTTGGGTAATATTTCTAGATTTTTCATATAAAAATTACTAGTGAACCACCCAACGTCGCTTTTAAGATTCGTACCACTTTTTTAACTTGATGTATTGCATATTTCCGTGGGTCGAATTGAGAAAAAAGACAAACAAAGTGTACAGGGATATGTCATGAGCATATCATGAAAAAATCCTTTCAATATGTTTTTAAGAAACATTCGAAAATAATTCATTCTTAAATCGTGTCACATTTTCGAGATATTCTCGGACATTCTAAACATATTTATCCAATAGAGGGCCTCTCAAAAGAGTGACTTTAGATTTTTTGGCATTTCACAAGTCATTTATAAAATTGATTTATCATCTATTAATTAGATGTCACCACTTGCTATGAACTACATGTACGCAAGTGGTGAATATAAGCAAGTCAATTGCTGTGAGCTGGAGAGGGTGTATTTAAATGTATATCACTGACTTCTATCCTACCACGTGATTACGTTTTAAAAGAAATATGAGGCCCGGGGCTACATTGAAGTTGCAAATGGAGCAGGTATTCTCTAACTTTTCGATGGGTCTTTTCTGCTAATAATACACTGAAAACTGCCTGATGAATTTATACAATATATTGTAGAACACTTGGAATAAACATGTATGTAAAATCTAGTATACATTCTGAATCAAAGATATTGAAATAAACAAACGTCCTCCCTTCACGGCTTCACTGTAGCCTGTACCCCTTTTAAAGGGATACATCAGTGAGTTAAAAATAAAAAAAAATCAGTGCGGAGGATGGACGGGGAATCGAACCACAGTTCATCGCGTAGGAGGTGAGGAACTTGCCACAAGACTACGGCTCTTTCTACCTCTGTCTTTTTGATTTAAACCTTAAAATTCGCCCAAGCATCGATCAGCGTGGTTATTATATAAATAACACTTTCATTGTTCAACCAAGCTACAATTAGCCATTGATGAGAGATAGTCTAGAGAGATTAAACAACACGTAAGTTTACAAAACGTGAACCTTAGAAAAATGGCGCCCGTATAAGATTTTTTGTTTTCTTTTTACAATTTATATTTTGACACGATTGTGATGAAACGTACACCTAGAAAGCGGCGTTGGTGTGAACGTAGCTTAAGGGTAAGCTTGCTACGTTCACACCAACGGCGCTTTTATGGCGCTTTAATGCGGCGCGCGAAGCAGCTTTGCACGTCGTATTAAAGCGCCATCAAATCGCCGTTGGTGTGAACGTAGCTTAACTAAAGGTAAGTTCACACCAACGGCGCTTTGATGGTGCTTTACAGCTGCGTGCAAAGCGGCTTTGCACGTTGCATTAAAGCGCCTTCAATTCTTCAAAGTGAGAGAGAGATCTATGAATATCAGAATGCGTCCATGCCATTAATTTGGCCAAATACATGGCATGAAACTGACGTAAGCTTAAGTAAGCTATGCCCCCCCCCCCCTTTCTCTGGTAAATTATGACTATTTTTCGGAGTAATGGGTTTCGGACAACTGGGTTTCGGGGAATTGGGTTTCGGATAACTGGGTTTCGGACAACTGGGTTTTGGAGAACTGGGGTGTACCCGATTACGCTTTGCACGCCGCTTTAAAACCCCGATGACTCCAGAGGTAGTTTAATCCGGTAGCCGACAGGCGTTTCTTGCATTATTGAATACAAGCTAACCTTATATTCGCGAATGCAACTAACGCCTGTCGGCTACCAGATTAACCCAGTATTATATGACCAAGTCATTTAAATATGAATGGAATAGTGGCAGGTACTATTCGTATTGACATGAGTTTCCAGTAAAATAATAGGTTAATCTGGTAGCCGACAGGCGTTAGTTGCATTTGCGAATACAAGCTAAGACTATGATTTGGGAATGGAAGATTTCAGCTACCGGATTAACCTACCATTCTATGGGCGACTCATTTAAATATGAAAAGAACTTGACAATATTCCATTCATATTTTAATGAATTGCCCATAAAATAGTATAGTAGGTTTATCCGGTAGCCGACAGGCGTTAGTGGCATTCGCGAATACAAGCTCATTTATTTCATAATTTGGGAAGTATATATTTTCACAATATTGAAATAGATGGTGGTTCAAAGTGGAATACATATCATACACGTGTCACAGATATAACTAGCAGGTATATACTTTTAGTACATATGTACATATATGGTCTGTCTTTGCATGACTTTGTAGAACATATTAAAACCCTGGGATCCACAGGGTAACAGTAAGTACATTTCGTTAGATCTTCCGAAGTTCATGCTTCAAAGTTGTCAAAGTTGTAAAAGGGTAATCCTTTTTTTGAGTACGAAAGTGTACTTTTTGTTAAATAGCCTTTCCCAGCTGCTAATCTTTTGAGTGCATCGTGCATTCAACGAATTGTATTCACTTATTAACCAATCAGTGCCAGGAACAAAATGCACGCTTACTTTTTGGGCTAAGTTTAGTGTTTTATGAAGCATGCTACATACAAATGTTACGCTTTTGCTCATTTACTTTGAGAACTATCTATAGGTACACATTATACTATTGTTGACCTCTCCAGAGGTCAACTGGCAAAATTGTATACCGAGACTGTAAACCGAGAAACTACTGTTGACAGAGACCGAAGGTTGTTTGTCCGAAGAAACTAATAATACACATAGAGACGACAATCATCAATCGGCATGGCTTCATTTCACAACTTTTTCTTTGAACCACGTTAGCAACATTTTTTTGGGGAAAATCTGAAGACAGTGCAAGTAGCTAAACTCTCTGTATTCGGCACATCAAGGCGTACTCATTAGTAAATTAATGTTAATTTTACGTTTCTATTTGTATTTTTGCTATATTTGTTGTCTAGTAAAGTCAAAATATCGTTTTCATCAACGTTTACAAAATGTCCGTCTTCAATGTTTTTTGTGACGCCATGAAACTTTTTTTCAAAAGTAGCGGTCAACAGTACCTAGTCGTAGTCAACAGTACATATCGTTGACCGCTTATCAACCAATCAGAATCGAGTATTTCAGTTGAGGTACTAGCAATACCAATTGACTCCTAGATTTGAGTGAACAAGTACCTCGTATTTTTCATTTTTCGATATTTTGAGATTTGTTGGCTGATGAGTAACTTGATATTTTATGTCTAAATATATTAAAGTGGTTAATAGTAATAGTTTTATTGTACACCATAAACTGTTAACGTTTTAGAATTGGGACACAATATATGATTTGATAATAGAACAATACATGTATATGTCTAAACTCGGTGCTTTGTTTGTTAGTTTGTTTTCTTAACAGCTCAATAACTGTTGTATTAATAAGGCGTTATATTATGAAAAAAAAGATTGAACGATGTAGGCATACATGTAGGCAGAAGGAGTATCACACTACCCTACCACGTGAACACATGCATTTAAAAAGAATACAGGGTACAGTTAAGTTGCAAATAGAGCGGGTATTCTCTACCCTTTTTCATAGGACTTTCTGGTGATAATACGTTGCAAACTGCTCGATGAATCTATACAATGTAAAATCTAGTATTCCTTCAGAACTATGGAAATCAACAAAGGTCCTCCATTTGCAACTTCACTGTAGCCTGTATTCCTTTTAAAGAAATACGGGCTACAGTATTGGGGTATAGTAGTTTGATTTTTCAATATATCACCAGGGCCGTCAGATGGGGGGGTGCGATGGGTGCGACCGCACCCCCCTTTGTCACCCCCCCAAAAAAAAAAATATTTTTTAAATTTTTTTTTTTTTAAATTTTTTTTGTAATTTTTTTTTCATTGACTCATACACTTTGAAAGTACCCAGAAAGCACCAAATAGCATCTTAAAATTGTAAAATTTTCTAGGGGTATTGGCCACCCCTCACACCCCCCACAAAACAATGGAAAAGTTCTAAATTTATTTTAGTGTTTTGTCCCAGACACTTTTAAAGTGCACAGACATCATCAATATAGCTCCTTGATACAGTTAGTGTTTCTGGGGGACTAACACTTGCTCGCCTCTTGCATCTTGCACTTGCATCCCCACACCACCTCCCCCTCTGGCGCCCCCCCCCCCCCCATTGACCCCCCCCCAAAAAAAAAAATTGGATAAAAGTTGTGATTTTCTCAAATTCTTTAATTGACTCATACACTTTGAAAGTGCCCAGGAAGCACCAAATAGTGTCGTAAAATCTGGCATCCCCCTTGACACCCCCCCCCCACCCCACCCAAAAAAAATTGAAAAAAAAATTAAGATTTTTCAAATTTTATTGACTCATACACTCTGAAAGTGCCCAGAAAGCACCAAACTGCCAAACAGCATCTTAAAAATTGTAAAATTTTCTTGGGAAATAGGCACAGACACTTTTAAAGAGCCCAGACTTCATCGAATAGCACCTTGATATCAGAAATGTTTCTGGGGGACAGATATGGGGGACAAACACTTGCTCCCCCTCTGGCACCCCAACCCCACCTCCCCCTCTGGCACCCCTCCCTCCCCTTTGACACCCCCAAAATTTGAAAAAAAGTATGATTGTTTTTCAATGTTTTTATTGACTAATACACTTTAAAAGTGCCCAAAAGTACCAAATATCATCTTTAAATTGTAAAACTTTCTATGAGAGTTAGCCACCCCTAACATCCCCCACAAAACAAAAGAAAATATTCTGAATTTCATGTATTGTCTCAGACATTTTTTAAGTGCCCAGACATCATCAAATTGCCCCTTGATATGGTCAATGTTTCTGGGGGACGACCCCTTGCTCCCCCTCTGGCACCCCACCCCACTTCACCCTCTCATCCTTTTTGACACCCCCAAAAGAATTTGAAAAAAATCACATTTTTCTTATTGACTCATACACTTTGAAA